AAAAAGAGTGTGTGTGTGTGTGTGTATGTATGTATGTGTGTGTGTGTATATATATATATATATATATATATATATTAGTGTGTGTGTGTGTGTCACACGATATACAGACCCATACCACAGGGTACCTAATACAGCAAGGCCTTTATAAATGGGTATGCAGTTTCATGGAGGTAAGAAAAACAGATCTAAAAGAACATTCATATCGTATTAAACCAAAAGCAACTTTAACAGAAAGCCATGCGCTTCAATTCAGTTCTAAATTATGCAATGCCAGTAGCAGAATTTATGTTCTAAACAGAGTTCCTGTCTGTTCCTGAACTGGGGAAGAAAATACTGGATGGTTGCTTTAAAACCCATTTCCACCTTTGCAGAGGCATTTTTTTAAAAACATATGCCAGCAATGTGCACCGAGTGTACATGAAGCAGGCGTATGCAGTTGCTGTATATGAACACAGAAACGTACATTTTTTGTTAGCTTTTCTCTTCATATCCTCATGGAAATGGCCACCTCTGTGCTCTTCAAGCAATGTGTGTGTATTACAAGCAAGCTCTCTTTCAGCTCTCCACCTATCATTCATTAGTATACATAATGGCAACCCCCCTGGACAGTGTATTTGGCCTGGATGGGAAGGGGGTTTAACACCGCGGATGTCAACTGGTTAAAATCTGACCACAGTGTCACACTGAACTTCCTGTGGAGAAAGTTCTGAATTTCTAGGATTCAGGCCTAATAAAAACTTTATTAAAAAAATGAAGAAAGCCTGCACCTCCCCATTACCACAATAAATGGTAATCACTTACAAAAGGTCGACATGGACTTTAAACATCATGACAAAAATACAGTAACTAACTAGATCGACTTGTTCAAGCTGAAGGCGCCTTCATTTTGCTTTACGCTTAAAAGAATACATTAGCAGGAACAAATATGGAGCCATTGTTGGGACTTCCAACCTTATGTGTCTGTCTGTAGCTCCTACACAACCACCATAAAGAAAAGGTCACCATATTTCCTGACACAACTTCTCAGCCTTCCATAGGGTTGGCCTATTAAAGCACACCTGATGACATAGGACCTTACCTTTCTGGCAATGCTCGGCTGACCAGCAGCGGTGTGAATATTCCTCGTAAATCACTGTTTTCCGGCAGGCCTGCTTACCAGTCACAGGGCCAGGACACATATCTCCACAGTCCTTTGGTGGTTTATTCTCAGAGATGTAGTTGTTGTAGACAGCTTCCAGGACCAGTGACCAATCAACCGTAGAAAGGTAACACAAGTCGGAGTTTTTCTCAATCCTTATAGCACCCCGTGTAATATTCCGCAAGCTATACAGTCCGATCTCCTTTAGATCTGTCATCTCAAAGATAACCAAGGCATAGTTGTAAAACAGAATGCGGCCACGGATGACAGTGAGGTTAGGGAAGAGGTCACTCAGGCTCTCCAGGCCCGACACCCGGAAAAGCAGCAAGTAATCTGTAATAACGGTAAGCTTGGGAAAGCGCAAGTTCCGGAAGTCCTCAGCCTTTGCAGTGGAGATGAGTAGAATCTGGAGGTAGCCTTCTATCACAACGCAGTCTTCTAGCTCCTTAAGTTCACGTACATCATTGCGTATGTCCATGCTATTGCTGCACACTGTGGGTGACAAAAATAAATAAAAAATTAGTTCTAACAAACCAAATCCTGATCTCACTTCATAAAATTAATAAACTGAGTTCTCTGGCTTTCTAATGGCTCGGTTACCTCTGCCTTTCTGAGATGTGCTATTATAGCTCATTGGCTCTAGGCACTCCAGAAGCAAAATTCCCCCCATACCTAACCGGATTATGGCTCAAGTCAGTTCAGTTTCTGCCATATACTGGGTTTCAGTTTACAGATTAGGCCACTTTACAAGTGAGCCCGTACTTTCCACTACTAAAAAGGACATAAACATGTGCTACATGGTGAGAAAACACAAGTTGATAGAAAAGGTAGCCATACACAGAGTGATTGCAGAGAAGTGGGAAAAGCTTTATCTTGTCATCAATTGAAATGTGTGCTATTGGGACCTACTGCAACCTTCTACCCAAGCTGCCCAAAAAAACAACACTGTACACGCCAAGGTTTTTTGTTGCTCTTGAATAGCTGTCAATCAGCGCAAAAACACATCTTAATACCTTTGCAGGGACTTTTAAACACTGTATGGCTTTGGTCATAGCAATTAACAACGGGCACCATTGCGGCCGGCGGACACCTTACACCGGAGCCCGCAACTTCCCACAAGGTCACCGCTGCCGCCCTCTGCGCTCTGCCGCCCCGAGGCCTGGCCTCGGTGGCCTTGTGGGAAATCCGGGCCTGCTTACATATGAATCCACCTGACACAATTCAGCCCATACAGCCCAGTAAGTTAGCCCATGCTGTGTCAGTAAACAGATTCAAACTTTCGAGAGGAGTTTAAGGGTCTGTGCCGACGGTCATATGTTCACTTCAGGCAGATTTGCATTCCTACACATGTCTATGGGAATGCAAAACCCACTTGAAGCAGGTCAGAAGGAGGACAACTGCAAGTTAAATAAACCTACAAATGATTCGGAATGAAGCGTCTCAAACAGATTAAAGCCCGTTGGCACAGGCCCTAATGTGACTGGCTGACATTTAAAAGACAGGATCCCAAAACCCCGTATAAGCAACAAAAGGGGCTGAAGTGGAATCATATTTTAAAAAATTGCCTCAGGGTTTTTAAAAGCACAACTAAAGAGGCTCCTGTGTGAGAGTCTAAACAAGTACCATCATCCATATTATGTGATGCACAAGCCGAATTTTTTCGTGTCTCACACACTCCCCCTCCCAGACACTGCAGCTCACAGTGGGAGGATTTTAGCAACAGAGGCAGCGCGGTCAATCCAGGAAGCAGTGGGAGATATTAGGCGTGGACAGGTGCTGTGCAAGTGATAACACAGCGCTAAAGGTGGATTCCGTAAGAAAGTAGGTGTAAAATATAAATTAAATATATTGCCTTGTTCTGGAGGTATATATATATATATATATATATATCCACCGAACTGGGGGACTAGTTACCTCCTCAAGGTGTATATATGTGTATATACATATAAGTGAATAACGTCCCAATGAAAAAATATCAAAAACAACTATGTATAAATCAAGTGATAACAAAGTGTCTAAACCTCATTTGTGTTAATAAATCTGAGCATAAACTTCTACGTGGATACAATGCAACACAATGTGAAAAAAATGTTAACAATAAAATTATCTCATAAGTGAATGGTAAAGAAGTGACAAATCCTCAAACCTTTGTGTCAAACCGTTAATAAAATAAAATTAACGTAAAACTATTTTACATATTTTACCAATTCATAGCAGCTTTAGGATTAGTATTTTAACTTTTTAGCCTTATCTTTCCAAGAGCGCAGATTATTTTATCTAAAAGTGGACAGGTGCTGACTGACAAGCTACAGGCTGAATCAGCAGTGACAATGCCGATAGCCATTAACCCTGCAACATCTACTCATCCCACCGTAGTACAAGCAGGTGTTCTATCAAAGATTGCGACTGGGTTGGAATGGGAGACCGGTCACGTGGTCACACATTCTAATGTAATCACGCCCAGTTTTCGTCCGTGGAATAATGACCGGCAAAAGGTGAAGAATTCCCACACTTTATCAGCTGATCGCAGATCGTATGTGCAGGAAGATCCAATCTGCCCTGGAACAGCTGATCGGTCCTGAAATGTCACTTCTATCCGACTGTGGAATGTAAGATTGCCATCAAAAAGTCGGATAGAAGTGACATTTCAGTACCGATCAGCTGTTCTAGGGCAGATCGGTTCTCCTGCACATACCATCTGTGATGCCGATCTGCCCTGGAACACCTGAAAAAACGTTGGAATTCACCTTTTGCCGGTCACATATTCCACTGCCGAAAAAGTGGGCGGGATCACATTAAAATGTGTGACCACATGACCGGTCACAGATTCTGTAAAGGATGGACACCGGCACTCCGAAGCAAATCCAGTAGGTCTATTTATTCACATACATGTTTGCCTGATGAAGGGGATCCTGTAAAACCCCGAAACGTATCTTGTGTTTTGCATTTGCAACAAGTACGTGAATAAATAGACGTACTGGATTTGCTTTGGAGTGCCGGTGTCCATCCTTTACTTATACTTTGACGGAAGCCACCCTTTGACACCTGCTGCACCCACTTCTTATCTCATGGAGCAGCGGTTCTGAGTGCGATGGGTACACGGACTGTATCCGGTCACAGATTCTAACGCAGTCACGACTCTTGATAGAACACAGGCACAGCCTACATGACTGTCACACCATAACTGAAAGCAGGTAGTTGTGGAACATTGCATGGGATTAAGGGCCAAAATACACTTTTTCGCTGAGGTGTGTTAGCACAATGCATATTTATGTGCCATTCATTTTTATCAGAGATCTGAGCAATGCGAGGCCCATGCAGCAGGTGTTCGATGCACTTTTTGGTATCCAGCTTTTCCGCCTACAAGTCCAACAACTGCATGACTTTGATGGGGTTGATGGACGAGAGACTTCCACGGGCATGTACTCATTTGAAATGTTCTTTTTTTCCACTTGTTTCTTATGCAGTTTTAGAGGCTTTGGTGATGCCAAAATGCGTTTGTTAATGTAATGTATATGGATGGCTTTTTTAATAATGAACTAATGAACTTCAGTGGATAGTAAGAAATTGTTGATCTGCTACCAGGCAGTGCCTGAACACCTCTACTGATATCTTGTGCAGAAACTGGGGTGCTCTAGTATGCTTCTTGGTCACTAGGTACATAGTTAGTCAGGTTGAAAAAAGACGCATGTCCTTTGAGTTCAACCTATACAGATATGGAAAAAAAAAGAAGCTTAAACTGAACGCTATGCCCACAATTACCCACTGTGGATCCAGAGGAAGGCAAAAAAAACCCTGCCTTTGGTTGGTTAAGCTGGCCCTACACTGGAAAATTTGTGTATGAAGGTTCATCTGAAAATCTCACCATAACACGCTATAAAGTCATCAGAGACTTGACCGATGTCACCTCGTTTGGTTTTTAACATTCCGTTTTGGAGTGAATGGCGTTTACCAAACGAAAACCACATTCATGGTTAGAATTATGTTTGAGAAAAAGTCTCCATCCCGCTCCTTCGGGTTTTTTTAAATCATCACTAGGGTCAAAGGCCACGCAGCTCCAAAGCACATGCAGAATACAACAACGCACAGTAGAACACCACTGTGTGTTATGGTGTGCTGGCAAAAATGGTGTTTCCACGTTTCAGTGCATTGCTAGCCCATACATTTGACTGCCTTAGTACAACACACGTCACCGAGCGTGCGTTAACACAATGCAGCAGGCCACTGAGGTCTAAATGATGCACTTATAATAAAAGGGCTGCAGCACATTTTCTTTGGTGTCCCCAATTCTACTTTAAGTATCCCTTTATATAAACTGACAATGAATGTGTTAACATAATGTATTCACACAACACATTGGGGCCAGCCTACCTACTTCCTACCAAAACATACTTTTTTTTTTTCCTGCACGGTTTATAAAAGCAGCTTTATCCAGATTGCTCATACTCGCAGCGGAGTGGATTACACAACAACAACAAGGCACTTTTTTGTGTGCCCCTAGGCAAGGTTTTTATTCCTGTGAATGCAGCTGCTTTAAATTCTCTGATTTATTACTTTTTGAAATCATGAAAACAATACTTTTGTCCGGGACCTCCAATAAGAAATATACTTTAAAAGGAAAAAGTATGCGGCCTCCTCAGTCAGAGCCTATTATGAGTTATTACTGCAGTGTTTACCTTCAAAACAGAACCGATTACAATAGAATTTGCACAATCTGAATATTCTGTATTCAATTATAATGCGCGTACAAGCTTTACAAGCCGAGCTTCAGGTTTTTTAAATAAAAATGCTGGTTTGGTTGCAATACTCTTCTCTGATGCTATGCCTCGCACATACACAGAGAGATGATGCTTCCTTTGAGCCCAGGTCATTGCGGACGGTGTGTCATCACAGCAACAAGAACTCTATTTTATTTAATCTAAAATAAATAAAAAGATCATGCATTTCCTTTAAAGACGAACTCTGGGAATGTCAAAAAATTGGGGCTACACTCACACTGCAAGGGTTAAGAGTTCATTTTTTCTAGGGGGTAAGAATAAAGCAGATAAACTCACCTGATCCTTGCTCCCACCGGGCTGCTAGGCAGATCGCTGCAGCCACTTCTCCTTTTCTATTCGGCAGTCCTCATGGTCTTACGCAAGTTCATTGACTTGACATGAGGACACCTCCAAGTTTCTGCCTAGTGCTTCTGATGTCATGCAGAGTGCCCAAAGACCCCTAACAACAGAGAGGGGGCAATAGCCACCAACTTCCTGTTCATAGCTTTGCAGCCTTTCCAGCCTCTTGTATATGCCCCAGAAGTGAGACTGGCAGCATCACTAAAGTAGAATTTTATTTGAAAAATTCATTTTTGGAACATTTGTTTGATTTTCTAATAATTATTGGGGTAAATAATCATCGACATTCATTTTTGGCCCTAGTGATAAAAGAAAAAAAATAAATAAATATGGGAGCAGGATGGAATGTTTTTCTCAAATGAAATTCTAAC